GAAAAGAGGCTGAAAAGTTCAATACTCACAACAGACACTTAAGCCAGATAGGCAGAAGCTAACCGCGTATTTAATCAGATCGTCTAAATGGATGGCTGAAAAGCTATTGGGAGATATATTAAGGGGAAGACACATAACTGAACTAAAAAGGAAAGGATAGTGTGGAGAGTCATAATCTCTAGTGTCTTGATCAGTTGATTGATTTTGTTTAACGGCATATCAACATCTGTAGGTTATTTAATGCCAAAATGGAAATATTTTGTACACAATTTTATGGCTTCAACTAAATATATTTGGAACGTTATTATATGCCGTCAACTGCAGATAAAATGCCTGGTTGGTCATTTTTCTGTAAATATGAATAATTTGTTTGGTTGATTTTGTTTAGCAGATATGTCGTACATAATTTTATGCTTTCAGGATAAAGACATGTTTTTTAAAATATATATATATTTGTAGATCATAAAAATTGTTAGTACTCATTTTATAAAAAACATGTACATCGATTTTGGGTTGGGGGCGAGGGAGTCATTATTTTCCCACAGCTGGGACCCGAACAGGTGCTACCACCCCGATTCAGCATGAACCGGGGAACAACAGCAGTTAACAAAACAAAATCATTGAATTTTTTTAATCATTTTATCCAAAGAAAGGCATTAATGCCACTAGTACGCAGGAAATTACGGAGAATGAAAGTCTAGCGGGGATTGAAGAAAGGATAGAAGATGAACGGGATTCAAGATGACAAAAGATGGCGATTGACATTACATTTAAATTTCTGGAAATTGTAGTTATCAGGGAAGCAATTAAACGGAAGTGAGTTCCATTGTCGATAAGCACGAGAGAAGTAATTGTTGGAGTAGAAATGGTGTTTGCATTTAACTATTTCAACAGTAAAAGGGTAGGACTTAGGTGCCTTAAATTCATGTAGTCGGGACACCAGGGAAAAAGCTCGTTAGAGCAGTTGCTATGAAAATATTTGTAGACAAGACAGAGGGAAGCCACGTCACGTCGGTGAGAAAGTAACAGAAGTCGAGATGCCGAGTCAGGATCTATTATATTGCAGATCCTTCTTTGGGTTTTGTCAAGAACCTCGGGATGAATAGCAGGAGCTCCAGACCAGATATGGCAGCAATATTTAATGCATGGGCGAATGGTAGAGTTGTAAATATGCAAAATGAACTCTGACAAGAAAAAAGATTCTGTCACGACACAATGAACCAACTTTCCTAGCAATAGATGCAGCTATTGATTGAATGTAGTCGTTCCGCTTGAAGTCAGTTGAAAATGATCAGTGAGACGATCTTCAGAAGTCAAACATCAGCCATGCTGATGGCGGACAGGCAAGTTTCTTTATAGTGGTTAAATGAGAGCTGGTTTGGAGGCATTAAAATTGCGTATCTGCATTTTTGAAAGTTACAAATTCATTTATTTGAAAGAAAAACATTGTTTCATCTTCTATTTATCTTTTAAAACGGAGAAAAAACATGGAAGATATAACAAATTAAGATCTAAATATATCTAATGTTTTAAATGGACAAAACCTACGGTTTCTATCGTACTAATGGAGAGTTTATACGGCCGAGATTTGACACTCATTCTTATCGAAATATCTACAGGAGTAATGATTTGAGAGATGAATTTTCTAACCACTTAGTCACAGTGAAAATCACATTTTCCAGTTTAGTTTTAGCACATCAGCTTTGACTTTTGAGTCAATAGGTAAAAATGAACAAGAGACTTTTACATTCATTGAACTAAAACAGATCTTTTGAAATAGAAAGTTACCTATATTTGTTTGTATTTTAGAATTCGATATCACGTGAAAAAAAAAGTTAATCATGTTCTCTTTCTTTTTCTTTCAGGTGAGGGCCTATTTTTTCTAACCTCTATGAGCGAAATCAATGCGCCCTAAGGTACGTGACATCTGATACAAAATATATAAAATTTTAAAATTTAAAGGTCAAAGTTGATCTCCTCTATGTCACATAAAATGCAATCAGCGGAACAGTATATATATATATATATATATATATATATATATATATATATATATATATATATATATATATCGAGTAAACATAGGAATCCGACAAAATGAGAAGATAAATAAAAAGTGGAAAACAGATCTAACATGTTTCGCTTTCTTTATAGATCTATCTTGATCTCTGAAGAGGGATTAATTAAAGTGAAACCTGTTAGATTATGATCTGTTTCCTTGTTCTTTATCCTATCACACACACAAAACAACACACGCACATACACACACACATATATATATATATATATATATATATATATATATATATATATATATATATATATATATATATATAAAATCAAATATAATATTCCATGGTTATAATTTATTACAATGGAATCGTCCGATTTCTTTTTGAATTTGTAGGTCTGATGAATTGGATCGTGATTACGATTCCAATGTAATAAATTATAACCATGGAATATTAGTGTTTGAGCCTTTTTTAGTATATTCTTACTCTGTCCTGGACATTGAGTTCTACCTAGATTCTATCCTCTTGGGAATTTATATATATATATATATATATATATATAGAGAGAGAGAGAGAGTGATATAGATAGATATATTGACCACTAATATTATCTATATATATATATATATATATATATATATATATATGAGGATGAGGATATCCTCTGCATAAAACAGAATGTGAATGTGTACCGAGCTGCACATTACGCTGCTTGTTTTCACGAGTCGATAATATTTGGCGACAATTCGACAAATAGTGAAAGATGGCGTTGCAACTCAGACCAGACACCAGGTTCGTTGACAGGATGCAGTTTCTCACAATCAAACGTCTGTGGCTTAAAAATTACCCTATCGTCAAAACATTACCCATAAGTGTAAAACAAAACAATTTCTAGCAGTAAATCAGATTTTACTCTTGGGTTGTAACCCACTGCTATAAGCGAACCAAGTAGAAAAGCGTGGGTGAGAGGGGTGTACAGGCCAGCCAACCGCTGTCCATTCGGCGATGCCTGTTACGTCCCTCTGTATGCCTTTTGGCGGGATGGTAGTTTTGGATTGACTTATTTGGTCGGAGAGCCGAGTTCCAATTCCAGTTGGGTTCATTGTATTGATTTACGCAAAATTACCCTTGGGAAAAGCATGAATCTACCGCTTCCCCTCCCTATGGGTTAATTAGTAAACCTTGGATCACTAAAATATTATTATCTCAAAAAATATTCTTAAAATCAAAAAATATTTTTTAATGTTGTTATGGTCCAAGTTCCTTGTACCACGGTGATGGTCCAAGGTTAGAACCAATGAAAGAATAACATGAACACAGGTATGGAATACAAATATATATTACAACAGAAATATAATACAAAGAAGTAGACGTATTAGTAATGACTATCAGATTTGGTTAGAGTGAACTATGTTGTCTCGACAATATCACTATTCCAATGTCCTTACAATATGCTCTCAATTATCTCTCCTCGTCTTACAATCTCCTCATACCTCTTGAGAGGCGCAGGATTTATAATGTCAGGAATAGTCCATTATTATTATTATGGGTAAGTTCCCATAACAAACTTTAAATAAGTGGTCAAAAGGGGTGATAAGCCGTAAAAACGAATCCATCAATCAAAAGAGATTTGAACAACGAAATAATCATGTAAATATGGCAACAAAGATGAGTACAATAGTCCAAATAATGTAAATAGTGTACATAATACCTCATCTCAGAAATATAGACAGACAAACACTCTATAAATCCACATAAAAATAGTAGGCTTATGTCCTTCTTTATGGCTGGCCACTCGTATCCGGGGATTCCAGTCTACTAGAGAGTTAGCTAATCCCTATTGCAGATTCCTGCTCAGGCCCATTTGTGTTTGTTCAACACCTACAGAGCCAATGCAGAGCGGATCTTAGTTACAGTTTCTGGGAAATAACACGTTATCTAGCGTGATCAAAAGTCTGAACAAAGCTAGCACGCTCAAACCATCGGTCATGATGACTTGTGACTTCGTGCTAGTTCTGTCTGCCCAATTTCACACACAAGGTGTGGGTTTTCAGACACTTTCTGCATGCTAGGATCTCCTCCTCTAGAAGTCACCTACCTAAAACAATCGACCATGGTGAGATATTGAACCTGGATCTCAGAAACTGAACGTTCTAACCATTCGACCAAGTGCCCAAATGTTGGCTTATGTAGAAACTAGCAAAATAGTTACTATCGCTTTCAATGGGGTCCTCTGTAGCGGCAAGTGAAAATAGCCATAGCAGAAGAAATAAAAGCGGTATTATTGAACTCTTTTCTTCGTCTTCTTTTTTTTTTCTTTCGAAACATACAAAAATATAGAGTGAAGGTTGATGGAAGTGTGCGAATTACTGTCGGCTTGATCGTGTCTGTCTCAGCGTAAAGCCGAAAATCTGCTCCGAAGAGAAATATTCTTTCCTGACAGAAAGCACTTATGTTGATGTCAGCTGCGATGGAAAGTGGTAAATTTAATTGTGAAACAAAAGGCGAGGGCAAAAAGAAAAAAAAATAGAATTAAGCAAAAATACACACACACACAAAAAGATGAAGATAAAAACGGAAAAGAAAGAAAATTCAGGAAATAGAAATAAAAAAAAGTTTGCTTCTGTTCGGTGAAAAGCGGGCTGAAAATGGATTCTTCGAGACAATTTGGAACGAAAACACCAAACTCGACATGCCCCGCTATGACAGCTTAATGGTAGAGTATTGGAACTGAAGTCACAAGGGTAAATACTTAAAACACCGTAATGGACAAATGAGACATTTTAATCACCTTTCGACTGAAAAATGAGATTTTAAGTGTACCTCATATTTATTATAGTCTGGCACAAGATTTTACGCGTGAGTATCAGGTTGACTACAATAAACTATTAGCGTCAGAGATTTAGAAACATAAATAGAATATATAGTAAAGCAAAACTATCTATTGGACTTCTGTCCAGAAAAAGTCTTATCCTGTTTTTACGTTACTGTTTCGACTTCACGAGATAGATAGATAGATAGATAGATAGATAGATAGATAGATAGATAGATAGATAGATAGAAAATGGACTGGTTACTGATAGATAGATAGATAGATAGATAGATAGATAGATAGATAGATAGATAGATAGATGCGATCTTGCATAAATCACCGAGTATAAAAAATTCAAAAAGACATATCTAATATCCCTGATCTAATATCCATGATAGATAGATAGATAGATAGATAGATAGATAGATAGATAGATAGATAGATAGATAGAATGATGCGATCTTGCACCAAACCCCAAGCATGTATAAATCCAAAAAGACATATTTAATACCCCTTGTCCGTCTTATACATCTATCATGGATATTAATCCATGCTAGATGTATAAATCCGAAAAGACATATTTAATATAACTGACCTAATATCTTGCAGAGATAGATAGATAGATAGATAGATAGATAGATAGATAGATAGATAGATCCGAAAAGGAATCTCTAAGATAGATAGATAGATAGATAGATAGATAGATAGATAGATAGAAAATGGACTGGTGACGAACAGATAGATAGATAGATAGATAGATAGATAGATAGATAGATAGATAGATAGAGAGACGGACGGACGGACATATTTAATACCCCTTGTCTAATATCCATGATAGATGTATAAATCCGAAAAGACATATCTAATATCCCTGACCTAATATCCAGCATAGATAGATAGATCCGAAAAGGAATCTCTAATATCTCCGATTTATTATCATAGATAGATAGATATTTAATGCTGAAAAGACATATCTAATGTCCCTGATTTAATATCCATGATAGATAGATAGATAGATAGATAGATAGATAGATAGATAGATAGATAGATAGATAGATAGATGTGAAAAGACGTATCTAATATCCCTGATTTAATATCCATGATAGATAGATAGATAGATAGATAGATAGATAGATAAACCTGATCTTGCCTCAATCTTCAAGTATGCATAAACCCGAAAAGACATCTTATATCCCTGATCACCTTTATCTACAGCTGCATAACAAGTAATTTCATCTTAATGAGGTTGCTTGCGAGCTGACCATTTCTTCCTCCCAATCGGACTTAATCTTTTAACACCTGAATAATTGACCACTGATGGTGAAACAGGCAAAGAGGGCGGAAATTTTACATGCTTCATTGATACAAAGAGGGCTTTGGAGATATTAATTCCCCTCTTGCTATTGCGTGAAATTAGTGCAACTCCGATAATCGAAGTCGAAGCGACGTCTAATTGGGAGAATCGGTAAATTCTTACTTTAAGCAGGCAGAAATTACGTTAATATATAACTTCAGTTCCAAGAAACCATCTTATATGAAATCGACTTCATAAATGATGATTAGCTTGAAAGAAGCCCAACAGCAAATCTGAATTGCAAGAACGATAGATTGGTCATTAATAAATTTAAATAACTCCCAAGAATGATTCGAAGATTTTACCAAGAAAATTATGAAATCTTGTCTTGGCGGAGAGAAAAATCAGCGAACCGTGTTCGAATTCTAGCCGTGTTTATTACATTAATTTTTTTTTTCACAAATACCTTTATAGATCCATCTCTTCACTCTCCTTGATATGGGTTAAATAACACGATAGTCTGAGATCTTTAACCTTGGAGAAGGAAGACTCTGAATGCAAATTGGAGTCGGGCTGTTTGAAAATATCGTGGCACGCTATATATTAATATATGTGGGTAATATGGTGGTTCAATTTTAAATAAATGAACTATTAGATCGATAGGAGAGTCCACCATAAATAAAAGCAATTTTTGCTAAAATTAACCTGTTGATGATACTTTTTTGCCATGTATAAAGGAAATCAAAAATGAGGATGAACATTCCAAAGCTGATGTTTTGTCCTGTTTCTCTTCAAGACGTTTCGACCTTTTTAGTCATTATCAGGAACTGGAGGACAAGATTACTGTCATGTGCGCTCTCCAATAAAATGTAGCTAAGGTCTGCTCGTCATAGTTGCTGTATAGACTTCATTTTGGCTCTGTAGGTATTTGGCTACCACCCCCTGTGAAGACAGGTATGTTCTGATGCGTAGTCGCGGTACGATTTAAACAGATTAGTTATTAATTTGACACTTCTAAAGTAACTACGGAAACAAAACCAGCAAATAGTCAATAAATATAGAGGAAAATGCAGAAGCAAACAGAGGTATTCATTAATTTTGTTTTGAATAATTTCTCCTTAAGCAAGGCAATAATACTACTAAGACGCAGGACGTTACAGGGAGTGAAAGAGAATGAGAAGAATTTAGTGAGAAGGAAACGGACAATATCACAGATTTAAAAAAAAATAATTGCCGAAAACGGTTTTAGAAACGATGATTTCAGCTTAAAAGCTACATCAGAAACAGGCCCACAGGTTGTGTTTAACGAGGACTTATTTTTTTTTATAGAACTAATTATTTATTTTATTACATTTATTCCCTAAAATCTGAACACATAGGCAAAAGTGCATATTTTTAAGAAATGAAATTTTCAAAGCATTTCATTGAATTTGAATATTAACAAATAACATCTTCAATATGATTTCCATCATTTGTGATGCAAAAGTTGATGCGCTTTGCAAGACTCACGTGAACTCGATGCAATAACTCCACACTGCCGTCAATTTTGGCACATTCACTCTTTATGCATCCAATCAAGTGTGTTGCTTCTGTCATTTTCATTGAGTACACCTTCTCCTTTAGTATTCCCCAGAAAAAGAAGTCAATTCTTTCTTCTTTCAACAAAACTACGTTTAGTTTAAGGGGGCCAAAATTATATAGTTAATGAGATTTATTAAGTGTCCAGACTTTAGGTGTACCCTGTAGAACAGTACACTTACAGTTGAAAAATTAGTTTTATTCATGATATTCAAATCATCGATGGTCATCAGCAACAAATTGGAAATTTACTAGAATATAAGAAATGGGTCCTCAATGATTTGAGATAAACGAACCTTAAAGCAAAATTAGGTTTCTGCAGATCTTAGAATTTCATGGACGCATCTTCGCACTTTTGGAAAGAATAGTGACTGGTAAATAAAAAAAATGGGTATTTTACAAGAATAGAAATTGGCACTAAATGAAAACAAACGCCCTTCTCCTGTGAAAGTTTTAGCAAGTGTTCCATGAGATCGTGATGGTAAGTTACTCGTTGTTTTCAATCGATGTTACGATTACGTCACATATCGACTGACAGCAATTACAGGTTCTGAACAGTTCTTCGAAGCAAAATAGGCCCAGTTTGATTAATCTCGAAAGAGGCTTCTCCATCATGATAATACACGTCCCTTACACAAAAGACCAGTTCCGAAAAGATTGAAGACCTTGTCTGGCAAAATATTCTACACATTTCTTATTCCCCTGATCATGATCCATCAGATTAAACCCTGTTTCAGTGTTTACAGCAACCTCTTGATGGACACATCAAGAGGCGGGAACTAAACTCTTTGCATTCTTTGCCTGCAAACCAAGCAACTTTTACAAAATCAATATTCTCCAATGTAGACGATCATTGCACTCCACAGCTTCCTATCCCCCGTGGCCCTAAACAGTTTTTCACCTTTTGCTAAGTTTTTCGTCACCTTTCAGCCATGCATCCGCACAAACTCGTCAGCTAAATTTCCTCCATTTTTCTTGCTCTCAGTATATTCCGTGGGGATTACCTTCTCCAAGTCTTCCTTCCTCATTATGCGTTCAAAGAATTTCAACAGACTTTTCCTGATTCTGAGTAGAGGTTCCCTTTCTGCTGCCATTTTTTTCATACTTCATTATTGCTTAATCACTCCGCCCATGGAATTTTCAAAATGTGTATAAGGAAGCCTATTAACAGTTGGAAGGAATTTATCAACAATGACAAAATACAGATTAAATGAATTAAATTTAACTGACCAGGATTTTCTAATATTTTTCCAGCCCTATAGTCGGATATCGTTTATGGATATCGTGATATATATATATATATATATATATATATATATATATATATATACGATATCATCGCCTTTAGAAGTACAATCATACCATTGAAATACGAAAGCCATCGTGTAGCGATTTCAATCATTCTTTTATTATAATCTGTTATAAAAATAATAATAATATATTTCTCTACTTTTATATATATATATATATATATATATATATATATATATATATATATATATATATATATATATATATATATGTATATATGGGATAACGATATATCAATTTTATATATGAAGAACAAATTTGTAAAGATGTATGACAAAGAGGAGAAAGTTTTCGTGTGATCCTTTTCGTCCTATAGGACATCATCGGACTATACATAGATACAATACATACATACATACACACACACACACACACACACATATATATATATATATATATGGGATAATGATATATATATATATATATATATATGGGATATATATATATATATATATATATATATATATATATATATATATATATATATATATATATATATATATATATGTATAAAAGATGTGTTAGTAATGCGAATTACTATTATTATCCGAATATGAGACTTTCTCTGTTTTTGTGTTAGTAATCCGAGATTCGGTTCACCAACACAAAAACAGAGAATGTCTCATATCGAGAATATTTAACATTGAAAAACATAAAGGAAACAAAATTAATTATTTTTATTAACATGTGGAAATCCCCGCCTTTTGCCTGAAGACGGTCGCGAGACCAGAAACCCGTGTAGTAAAATTATGTAAAATAAAGCATAATATTCTTTTTTAAAAATCAACATTACAACCAAAAACGCTTGCGGCACCTCTCTTCTCTTCTTTTTTTATATATATATATATATATATATATATATATATATATATATATATATATTGGTGGGGTGTATATATATATATATATATATATATATATATATATATATATTGGTTCATTGAAAATCTTTGTGTCAAATTGTAATTAAAATAATTTTTTGAGCATCATTTTTTAAAGGAAAATCAATGTGCCCCTGTAAGCGCGAAATTGTACTCTCGCCGATGGTACACCGCATCCTGAGATTTAAACCATCTGTAAGCAAATATTTCACGTCAGTAATGGTCTCAAAATGGCCAACCTACAAGATTTTTAAAATTAAGATATAAGTAAAAGTTAGATGTCCCAGTAGGACTATAAGGTGATTGCGCAATGATTTTCTCACAAAATTCCTCTTATTTGATGAGAACAATGCGTAGCATAGCGTAGACTAAAACTCCTCTGATGAAAATTCTTCTCTGGTTTTTACTAGATTCGTAGCAAATTTTATTTTAAAAATATTTTGTAATAGACAGATGTTATTGTCTCTTTTCCTTCTACAATTACAACGAGTAAAATACACTCACCATCCCAGAAAGTTAGCCATATCATTTCCAACTAATCAGCTTTGACTGAACTCTTTTTAACATTGAGTAACTATTGTAACTTTAATTCGTACTGAAAAAAAAACAAATTTTGTCTCCTGTTAAAATTCGCCTTGTGATCTCGTTTGTTTAAATTTTGAATTGAAATGTCTTCTATTGTCTTTTACTGATCCAGGCCCGATAGTTTTTGTGCACAATAAGTAGAATGTTTGCTGAAATTTACTTTTTTCAAATACAACTTTGAATCAGCTGAAATGAGTGGCGTATTATCTATAACTTATGCTCTTAATCACCGGTTGTCCTCAATTAAATCTAGAATCTCATCGATTTTTTTTACTTACAAACTGATGTTGATCGCCTGCCGATCTGTTCGTCATCTACAACTCCGTCTCGTCCTTCTTTGAAACGAGTTATCCATTTATAAATTGGTGATTCCTTCGTGGAATTTTCTCCATGAATACCAATAATGCGTTCCGTCTTCCAAAATCGGGTTTTAGCGTAAATTTGATTTACTTCTTGCTTCGATTCTGACAAAAGGACGTTGTATTAAAATT